GAAACTACCGGGAAAAAAGCGAGGTTCGTGGTCCCGTTCGGGATTTTTTTCCCCCTCGCGCTTTGCCCGGAGCCCGAAAAAATGTGGTTTTCTATTTCGCCCGGCTGTTGGAAGTGATTCTCACACTTTTTTTGAGAGGCCGTTTTTGTATCGCCTAACGCACCTCTGAGAATAAATGGATTTTCTCATAGCGTTACGTTCTACCACCTAAACCCTGCACGAATATGCGCTGGAGACTGAGAAGGGTAAGCGAAAAATAAAGAGGAAAGCCTGTGGTTACTTCTCGTCGCATAGAGTCCTTCTATAGTGTTATATCTCGGCCTCTCAAAACTCTAAATATGCAAAATGAAATTTAAGAAACAGTAACTCGAGGCAAAATTGCAAAAATCGAGTTTTTGGCATAGAGAAAGCTTCAAAGAATAGATCCGAACGGTTATCATCATGAGCCTAATTTTAAAGCTCAGCGATTTGTGGCATTTTGAAAAAAGTGCTGTCAAAGGTTACCAATAAAATAAAATATTAAGAATCAATAAGGGAAAATGTAGGAAAACCTTGAAAAGTCGTGGAATTTTGCCTAAGCACTCCATGCGCGTGGTCAACCTTTCCAAAGATAGTCGAAAGATTTCTGATTTTCAACGTCGGAAATCTCTGTCTAAATCAGTCAGGGATTTTTTGTTTTTAGAATAGTCTAGTGGAGTCGAGGGAATTTTTGTCGTTCAAGTCGCTGCACCACCCCGGCCTACTCCGCGGTTGAATTAGGATGCTGAGGTGATATTCCAGGGGGAGCGACTTCAAATTTGAAATTTGCAAGTTTGATGGAATAGTTAGCCGGGTGGGACCGGGGACCCGGGAGCAGGTAAACAGCGGAGACTAATTAGCAGAAGAGGAGGACGAAGGAATGCAATCAATGCGGAAAGCAGCCCACATCCGCCGTCAACCCCCGCCACCCCCCGCCGACAGGTTGATAAGACAGGGGAGCCCAATATTTATCCAACAAATGAACCACCTCCGCCAGGCGCACAGTGCCCCTCGCGCGACCCAGTTGCGAACCGCGGAAATCGCCAAGGAAACTTCCCAACTGCCGGAGATCCGGGCGACATATTATACCCCGAGTCTTCTCTCGTAAAAAAGAGGCCCATGAGGGCGGGGAAGCTGGAAAATCAGAAATAGAGAAAGTAAGAGGAGGCGAGGAAGAGGATGAAAAACGGAAAAACAGAAGATGAAGAGGGAGCAGAAGTACGTCCTGTGGCGAAACAAAGTGAAGCGATTAAATAAGAGGGGAAACACTTTTAACATGGAACAGACTGGAACGTGGCTTTTTTTTTTTTTGTGTTTATTATACTTATCGTTACTTCCCCGCGTGCGTTTTCCAAGAAAATAGTAGCTAGAAAAGCAAAAAAGAAAGAGTAGGAAGAAGAAAGGAGAAGATGAAGGTAGAGTGAAAGAAGAGCGAGAAAAAGGGACACAGTATTGAGGAAATGATGAAGAAACAAGAAAGATAGAAGGAGCAAAAAATGAAGAGGAAAAAACGAGGAGGAGAAAAAGGAGACGAAGGAACAAAGAATGATGATGAAGAAGAAGAAGGAACAAAGAATGAAGAAGAAGAAGAAGAAAAAAGAACAGAGGATGACGAAGAAGAAGCAGAGGATGACGATGAAGGAATAGAGCAGAGGATGACGAAGAAGGAACAGAGGATGACGAAGATAGAACAGAAGATGAAGAAGAAGGAGGAACAAAGAATCAAGAGAGAGAAGAAGAAGGAACCAAGGATGAAGGAAGAGAAGAAATAGAAGATGTGACCAAAGAAGATTTGTACTCAATTCGCTGGGCTACTTCAGCCTAGGGTGCGACGGATCCCCGCGGAATGACAGGGACGAGGAACAATCGGTGAAGGAAAAGAACGGACGGCTGTAAGAGGGAGATAAGTGAGCACGGACAATAGCCGAGCACCGGCTGTATTAATATAATAAGTCTGCCTAGTCACCGAATATTAAAGTCGATCCAGTCGAAGCCCCACCCGCCCTCTCGGGGGATCCTTCCCCGGTCGAATCGCCCCGCGTCAAAACCGAGCCTCTTCCCTTCATGATGAGCCCTCGCATCAGTTCATTCTTACGGGAACCGAGACTCACGAGAAAATCGACTCGTTGGATTCTGACATGGACGGACTCAGTTACCCCGTTCGGTCAGTGTTGACTCATCTCCCGAAGCCGCGCCGATATCTCCAGCTGTGCACCAGACTAATTGAACCCCGTGTTTTGAGAGAAGCCTAAGTGCCTGTGGTATCAGAGGAGGGTTTACGCGCTTTTGCGTGGGATTCGTTTTGTGCTGACCCCGTAAATCTGAGCCTTCGTGGGCTCTGCCGGCTCTGCCCGACCCGAATCTATCAGCTGTTCGAAGATGGAATGTCGGATGAATTTCATCCTTGTACCTAGAAGAATACCTCACTTTGTAACCGATCTATCGTAGACTATTGTTTGGATCGATAGTTTTTTACGTTTTATGAAATTGAGATTGAGTTAAAGCAATTGATAAGTTTTTTTTGGAAAACCAGCACACTTAGAACTAAAGTTCGAATCGTAAGTGCAGTGTCCTTTATCGACCAAACTATTGGATTCAAGTAACCAAACCAAACAGAATCATTGGAAAAACCTGGTTGCAAGAACCGAGAATAGTGTTTCTAGAACTGAGAATACGGTTGCATGAACCGAATGGTACGGCTGACGTAGTAGAACACAGCCTTTACGGTTCATATGACCCCATTTTTTTCTCAGTGTAAATATACGTAGAGACTTTTTATCTCCTGCTTCGATCGGATTACTGTTTTAAACTTTATCTTCCCTGTTTGGATCAAGGTTTGATTCAAAATAATACACTTTCAACAAAACGTTACCACAGCTCAAACGGGGCAATTTTCCTGTAACTAACTGTTCAGTTTGCGGCGCAAAGGCCGGAAACTTCTTCAAATGATCCACCGGGCTAGTAATTTTTAAGAATTCATAACATGAACGTGGAAAGTACATAAAACGTGCGCGTTATCTTTGATTTACAGGGATAAAGGTTTTTTTTAGTATCTGCTCAAACGCAAAAAAATAACACGACCATAGCGACGAAGATTCGAGATCACGCAAGAGGTAAGACGTGTGGGTGTGGCGCTATCTTTGCCACGCCTGCAGCAAATTCTTGTTCTAGGAGTCTGCATTGAATGGAGTTGGAAAAATTTGGCATCCGATCAACTGAGACAAACGGGAAGAGTTCTCAATAATGTTAAAAGTTCGGTAAACGGTCCAACTTGGTACGATGCTCGAGTAGAGATAGGATCGAAGGATACAAGGAAAAGGGAAAAATATCGCGGCCGGAAAATTAAGATAAGGCACGTTCTGACGAAGGCAGAGACGTGGAAATTAGAAAGAATTCGACCCGAGCACAGGGCGAAAAGCGTCAGGTCGCCCGATGGAGCGAAGATATGGAGCATTATGGAATAAAGAAGTTAGCCATAACTCGGCGCTGCAGCGATAATTACGGCGCCGGCTTCTCTACAACGAAATTTAATTGTAGAAAGGGATGTGAAAGTAGGGGGGTCAAACTTGCGGAGACTCGATACCGAAAATGCGGGGAGATGAGCGATAATCTGACTTAACTCGAATCGAAACAATTTGTAGGAGCCCTCGGAGCGCTGCGGGGTGATATGAAGAGCGGCAAATCCGATTTAGGAACTTTCCGGCTGTAAATTAATTGGTATCGGGAAAAATATCGGCGGCACGTGCCGGAAACCAAACTCTGAGGTAGACAATGGCTCCGTATTATATTTCGGGAAAGGCTCGGGCCCAGGAGACGAATCGAGGAAAATGAAGGAGAGAGGTGAGGGTGAGCACGCGTCGTTTAATTTGGATGAGCAGGAACGTGAGATGTCTGATATGAGGTGGAATTTAATTGATGGGATTAAAAATCATAATCATGGAAGTAGGTGTAATTATTCACGGTAAAGTAATTGCAGTAACTGCGCAGTCTCTAGAAGTATGCATTTCTAATGAGTCGAAGATTCGATAAGCTTTCAAGTTGAAAATGGGTTTAGTTCGAAAGCGGTCTCTATCGGCAATTATTATAGCATACTATAGTGGTAACAGCACAGGATTCACTATTCCTCACTGTGACCATTTATCGTGAGCCAATACACGGCGCTTGCATGCGACTATTTCGACTCCTGTGTGGTCATCTTGCATAATCGCTCAATTGAAGGCGAAATGTATTAGCCGCAATTCGATCTCACGTTAAGACCGCTGACAATGAGTTGACTATGAGCCAATACACTGCTCTTGCATGCGACTATTTCGACTTTCGCGTGGCCATTGTTGCATAATTACGTGATTGAAGGCGAAATGCATTCTTTCTTAAATCGATCTCCCATTGAGACCGCTGACGATGCGTTCACAAGCGGAACTGATCGTGAGTTAATTCACGGCTCTTACATGCGACTATTTCGACTCCAGTGTGATCATCTTGCATACTCGCGCATTTGAAGGCGAATTGAATTTACGCGCAAATCGATCTCTTAAGGCCCAGATACACCTGCGAGTTACAAGCGCTTGTTGAACATTGAACACCAATAGACGAGGAGGATTTCGATAGCTCGACGACAATCAATCGAAATTCTGGTTTCCTATTGGTGTTTCACTTTTAACAAGCGCTTGTGACTCGCAGGTGTATATGCCACTTTATTGGAACCGTTGACCAAACAGAGCATGTATAGAACTATTCTGCGTGAGCATTTTTGCATAATCACGCAATTGAAGGCGAAATGAATTTTCCCGCATTAAACCTATCAGCTGTTTTTCTCGAGTTGTTCTTTCAGTGCCTAAAATAAAGTCCTCGTGAATGGATTGAAAATTAATTTAAGAGCTGCAACGATTAGAAATGATACCAAGCCGGTTATTTCGCATCGTTTTAGCAGGGTTTACAGCTTTTTGATGATACTAATTTCAGGTTGAATCTGTGTGTTTCAGGAAAAGGCGGCCGGTTGTACCCTGCGTACAGCCTGAGTGGATCTGAAGGTGAAGACAATTCGCCTAGCAGGTACCTGGGGAGTGGGCGTGTGCAGCACACCTACCAGCAGCCAGGCGCCCTCAGCGACACGCAAACCTCGGATAACGCGTCCGACGCCACACTCACAGATTCAGAGCTCGCCCTCGCGCGCGACTCAACCCTTCTAGTCCATAACGGTGAGTACAACCCTTATTTTTTACCCGGATGCTCAGAAGGGATGAACGCTGTTTTCCATTTCTCAAGCGGCTGCATTTCTAGTGATAATATGAAAAATTCGAAAATAAATCATGTACATACAGCCAGGGTTGCAATTTTTCGTGAAAGATAAAATCGTAAAATATTTCATTGAATTCCAGGAAAATAAGAAAATTATCGAAAAATATTTTTAGAGATTAAGTGCAAAATCAAATGTAAGGCGACTGGTTTTTGTTTTTTGGTATTTTTAGTGCGTGCTGTATGTATACTCAGCTCCTGAAAACATGTCTCATGCTTTTTGACTCCAAATTCGGAACAAAGGCAAATCAAAGGAGATCAAATTGAAAACGAAGTGATATTACACAGTAACTGAGCGTATTGAGTGAGTCTTAATCTAGATTACATTATAAATAAACCATGGCAGGCCTTTCCGACGTATCGAACACAATAACTCGAAATGAGTGCATCCCCGGAAATTTCACCCTCAACCAGACTCTACGCCAGAACTCTCAGAACTACAATCTTTTCTCATCTGCGATTAAAATGCCATCTTCAAAATATTTTTTGTCCCAAAATTTGCTCATCAGTCATCATTAGATGAAGAACAACTAGACCTCCGCCGTTCATCTTGCCGCCCTCGGTTACATCGCTGAAATTTTTGTGGGGAGGGGAGGGGGTGTCCCTAAAATATTTTATCCCTGCAAATAATCGTGTCACAGCTCTTCAAACACAAGACGTTTCTCTTCGTCAACCATTCATCCTCGAGAACCGTACCGGCAAATGATACGAGTAACTGCCGAGTAATTTGTTCACTCTGAGCAGGGAGG